CTGTAGTGGTGATAAGAGGGTTTAATATGTCTGTGGGAAGAAGAGTTCCATCCTCCCTAGAAGTTTAAACAAAAGTGGGCACTCTGATTTGATTCTGACATGCCACACGTGTGGTAATATTACAACTCCCTTTCCTTGGCCCAGTAGCAGTAAGTTAATAAATTGGTATCACATGTGTATGCACTGATACTGGTCAACAGGTTGCGTTTTGTACTTATGCCTCACTAAGGCTTTGAACAAGTATTGGAGATGAGCGTATTAATTAGTGTTCTTTCCATTTCAAATGACAGAAAATTCAATCCAAACTCACTTTACCTGAAAGAGAACAAATTTACTTGTACGATTTGAGAGTCTAACTCCAGAAACAGCTCAAAGGTCTTCAGCACCCAGTTTCTCCACCTTCAACTCTTAGATCCATTTCCTCTGTGTAGGCTCTGTTCTCCAACAGGCTCATGCCCTGTGGTGGCAATTTACATTTGTTCAAGTACAGAGAACAAAGAAATACAGAGATGCCTCCTGGTGGCTCCTGCACAAGTCCTGACCAGTCACTTTGGCTACCTGGGGTGAAGACCGGTCAACTGAAAGAGCTAGTGCAATCTTTAGTATAGATGAGTTAGGTCTAGGTAGTATTTGTGTGATGACTCATCTCCCGTGATACATCTGGATGCTGAAACCACAACCTCATGGGACTCCTTTGCCACGTCTACCCTGGGCCTCTTCTTTCTTGGGCTACTTCCCCAGTATCAGCTTTTAGTTCCTTGTTTCTCCCTCAGGAAACCTAATGATTCTGTCTCCCCTTGTATGTGCCCATGGGGATCCTTTTTATAGTTTCAGAAAGAAGCTTTTTCCAGATACTTTGTATTCTTTTTCCTAAGAATTTAGGATTTTATAAAACAAAGCCAGAAATATTCATAGATCATTTTTGTTTGTACTCCCTTTCACCTCTTCTTGGGACAATGAACACCCAGCAAGAGATCTGCTTACAGGGGTGGGGAGGGAGGAAAGAAGCAATACTGGAAAATACAGGGAGAAGAAAAATATAGACATGACGTAGATTTCAAAATATTATTCCAAGGAATCACATATATAATAAGGTTTCAAATTAGTAATGCAGGTGTTTTTTTCTTTCTCTCTCTCTCCTTCTCTCTTTTAAGATCTGAGGAGGTGGAGACCATTGGCAAACAAGCTGGTGAATGAGTAGGCCTCACAAATGCGTGATGTAAATTAAGCCTTGATAGGTGTTATATGCCACCCTTCTTATTGGTGTGGAATTTATGTCTCAGCCTCAGCTATGTATTTGCCCTGTTCTGACTATGTAAAGTTATGTAATATTTTGTGTTTCTAATTTTTAATATTATGCCCCTGGGAAATTGATTTTGTAAAGTATATTAGGTTTTATCCCGCTTTTCTGAGACCTGAACCCTTTATTAGTACTTCTAAGTAGTGTATTTAAAAAAAGAATTTCTAGTATAAGAAATTCAAGGAATAATTGAATTTTCCATGCATACGGTCCAGTAATGCCTGTCAAAGAGATATATGGATGCAGGGTCCAACCAGGAAAACAGAAACTGCTCTAAGTATTTAACATAGGGAGAATTTAATTCAAGAAATGTGTAAAACAGGTGAAAACAGAGCTAAGAAACCAAAAAAGGGACAGTTATTTTTCAAAAGGATGAATCAACTATGATTCCAAAGATGAAAGAATAAAGGAAAGAGCCTGTGACACTGGGCACAGGGTCAGAGGTCATGGGTCACGTGGCCAGAGCTGGAATGTGGGGGTGTGGTGGGGAACACCTTTGCTTTTCCCACCCTCCAGCTCTCCACTGTCCTCCTCCTGCTTGCCATTCAAATCCAGCTGGCAACCAGCTCACAAGGAAGCTTGGAAATGCAGCTTGCAGGGATTAGTGTCCCAGTGTTATGGACCAGAGGAGAGGAAAGAAGAGCCAGGAGTGAACGCCAGGGCAAACAAGTCTAGGACCCTAAAGCCACACAAAATATTTTTAAAAATTAATAGTTAACAAATCCTAGTTGAAGGCTGATAATTTATATTGGAAGAATAAAGTTGTTTGCAGTGGCTCCCATCAATGGGATACCAAAGTCTGGGAGCTTGAGGCATTACCCATTAAAATCAGGACAGCCTTGTCAGAAGGGCCAGTTATGTGTGTATATGTCCACATTTCTAACTGATGTTAGGAGCCCTGTAATATTCCTGAATTTAGTCAACCTTATTAAGAACACTGCCTGCCTGAATTTCTTGGCCTTTTAAATTAAGAAAGCTCCTACCTCTAAACCTGAGTTGTCCCTTTTCTTTCATTTGGAATGCTGAGAATCCCTCATCACTTTTCTTGTTAACCTTCTATTTATCCATTTGAAGGTTGCTGAGATTTGCTTATACTATAACTTCAGTGATATTTTTCAAGATGAATTTTCATTTCAATCACCAAAACTCTACTGCACAGGATATGGTAAATATTTGTGCTCATTCCTTTGAAGCCTCAACCTGGCTGGCACCACTCTCTAAATATAGATCAGGATTAACTGAGTAATAAGGCAAGAGTTCACTGTAGTTTCTCTAATAAATTCTTCAATACTGTTGCTGTAGAGGAGTCTTTCAAAGGATTTAACCTCAGGTAGACAGAAACTTCACAAGATTGGGAAATGTTCACATTCTAAAACATTCACTATGTTTGAATCATTGTGACAAGCTTTATGTTATCAATGAGATCCAGATAAAATATTTTCCATATTTTCAGTCCCCTATTTCACAAATTTCATCATGATTTTCGTTTGTTTTGAGGAAACTAGTTGTTTTACTGTATTTCTACTGGTTCTAAAGCTAATCTTGTTTCCTCCCTCCCATCTAAAATTGGGCATGTTTCATATTTCACAAGTATGTGCTAGTTCCTATTCCATTAAATTTTTAAGGGCAGTAATAATGGAAAATGGAACTGATCACATTAAAAAGGGATAAGAAGTAAGCAAAAGGCTTTAATTTAAAATTATGAGGGAAGCTCAGTGTTTCAGGAAAATAGCAGTGAAGGAAAAATACCTCTTTATAAGGAGCAGAAGAAAACCTTAAGGCTAAGTTAAATTAGACATATCAAACATTTCATGGGAAAGAGAGACAGATGTGCTTTTGGAACTGGAAAAATATTGGTTAACTTTTAGTTGTGATCACACTTGGTGGTGTCTATGTGAAGCAAATGTTTTGGCTCTAAACTCGTTTTTGCGACTTTTACGTTTTCTGCGTTTACCACCCTGAAGACAGAAGACAGGAGAATAAGGCATATTCTGACTGTCTGATAAGGTAAATCAGAAAACTTGCCCTTGTCTCAGTAACACCACTTAGTGATAAACAATTCAGTGTCTTTCAACGGAAATATTCCCCTTAAAAGCCACACAAACCAGAAATGAGAGCAAAATTGGAGAAAGTGGTCTTACTGCATTTTGCTACCCATAATTCATTTGCTCACATGAGCAAACATGGTGTTGGAAAGGGCCTGTGACATCATTAGACTAAATACGTCTGCTGTCCTGTCAATGAGGCAGATTGTAACAAATATTATTTCATCTTAAAATAGTTTTAATGGGATATTTTAATTCATTTTTTTCTGAAGTGGCCCTAATATATTTTAAGACGTACAAAAATTTAAAATGTCAGAAAACCAAATAATTCTACATTTGTTACCTGTCTCCCATGAGACACTGGGTGTTTATGTTTGTTTGATAAAACTTTATCTCTGGACACAACAATATCCTTTAGCATCTTAGAATGTTAGGGTAGAAAAGGAACCACCAGTCCTTAATTTCAATGATGAAAGTGTGGCAGAAAAAGGCCATGATTTCTGCAAGGTGGCACAGAAAAGTACAGTGAAGACATAATTTAAACTTAAATTTCACTGGGCTGGTGGCTCGCACTTGTAATCCCAGCACTTTGGGAGGCCGAGGCAGGCGGATCACCTGAGGTCGGGAGTTTGAGACCAGCCTGACTAACATGGAAAAACTTAGTCTCTACTAAAAATACAAAATTAGCTGGGCGTGGTGGTGCATGCCTGTAATACCAGCTATCTGGAGGCTGAGGCAGGAGAATCGCTTGAACCCGGGAGACAGAGGTTGCGGTGAGCTGAGATTGCTCCATTGCACTCCAGCCTGAGCAACAAGAGTGAAACTCCGCCTCAAAAAAACCTCTTAAGTTTGTTGATCTTCTAAACTCAAGCTCAGAGAACCTTCTATTATACCTCACTTGTGAACTAAGAACCATTTCCTCAATACTTGTAACTCACTCTGCACAAGCCAAGTCACTGCAACACCTTGCTTGCATCTGCAAATTTATATCAGTAGCTCAGAAAACGTGTTCATATAGCTGAGACATTTTGCTCAAGAAGAAATAGAGTTTTAATAGTCTATTAATTAACGGTCCCAAGAAAACAGGCTGCCTCCAGTTGTATGTGGGTTCCTTAATGAGTAACACAAGTGTCAGGGCGAGTAACAGAATGGCCTGAGTACGGAAGTTAGCAATGAAAGTCTCCACAAAAATATTAATACTTTCCTAGAGAGAAAGCCTTTTTTAAGTGGGAGCCTTTATTAAAGTCCAGAGTTAAAAAGTAATCTCTTTAACGTTGAGATTATAGACTTTTAGAAAGGTCATTTATGCTATGTTCCAGGCCTATGCTAAGTTCTAGGCCAAAAAGACCTGTAAATAGCACCAGAGCTGCTAGCCTGGGTCCTGGAACCCATGCCCATGCTGCTTCTATGGGGCACCCTTTCTATAATACATCCCCCCAAATGCAAACACTAGAGCAAGATTGACCCCACTGAAGCCTAGATAGTGCTTACATTGAAGACGATAGATTTTTTGCTGTTATTTTCGGTTGAGGACTACACAAAAACACATCCGACCTGTGCTAGAGTAAGTATGTAGGAGAGCGAAAGAAGCGTTGGGACATTTTAACTCGACTAAAAAGGAACACAGCGATCCCCTCGCTAAACTTGTCGCCAAGTTCCCTCCTCGCCACCCAGGGGTGCGGGAAAGCCCCCTCCCGCCCCAGGGCCCCGGCAACAGTGGGGGACGCTGGCTCGCCAGTTTCCTTCCCTCCAGCTCCCCGCGCTCCCCGCAGGGCGGGCCGGGGCGGGGACAGAGGAGCGCGGCGCGGAGGGTCGCAGGCTGCCCGTGAAGGGAGGAGGGAGGCTGGCGAGCGGTTTTATTGTTTCCTTTCGCCCTCCTCCTCCCGCGCCTCGGCCCCAGCGTCACTGGAAAGCCGCCCTAGACGCCCGACGGCTGGTTATTTATAGCGCGGGCTGCGCGCGCGTCACGGAGCCCGGCCAGGCTGACTGGGCCGCTGACGCGCTTGGCCGCGGGGCCGAGTCCGCGGGGCTGCGCGCCGGGCGCCTGCGACAATGGGCTTCTGTGTGTGCAGCTGCGGCCGCCGCCGGCGGCCGGGGGAGGGGGGCGGGCGACTCCCCAGCTCCCCTCCTTTTCGGCCGCGACCCCCGGAAAGGTAATCGGCCTCTTTCGCTCCCGGCTAGGACCCGGGCCTTGTGGACTTTTTTTTTTTTTTTCCTATTTTATCAGTAAGTTCCTCTTGCCTCAGGCTCCGCTTTCACTTCCCGCGTTCCCCACCACCCCCAAACCGCCCCAACGTATCGAAAGAGGGGGATCTATCCGGCCGGGGGCGCCACTTTGTGCTCCCGGGGAGCGGGACGTACCAGGCGCGCCCAGCGGGGGATGCGGTGACCGAGGGGCCGGGAGCGCCGGGCAGGTAACGTATCCTGGACCTAGAGTGGAGGGCTTTGTTTGGAGCGGGAGGAGGGGAGCGGGGGTGGGTGTGAACGCCGGACAGCCCTTCTGGGACTCCTCTCCCCCGCCTCCGCCCCCTCGCCTGCGCGCTGGAAGCCAATCGGGTTGTGTAGCGCGAAGAGCGAAAGAGAAACTTCTCCTGCGTGACTGACTAGTTGAGGCTCCGCCCGAGAAGCCGAGATAAAAGAGGCCCGGCTCCCGCCGCCGGCCCGCCCGCCTCTCCTCCCCCTCTTTTCCTCCCCCGGCCGCTCCCTCCCGTCGCCCCACTCCGCGAAGGCTGCGGACCGGCCCCCCACATCTCCCCCACCACCTCTGGCGGGTAGGGATCGTGGACGCCCCCGCCCTGCGGAAGGTGGGGCTGGTGCGGATTTTAGGGACTTCCTGGGACGCGGAGACCGGTTCTGAACCATCCATCCCCTTTCAGCTACCAGGAACCAGGGAAAGCTCGCTCTGGAGCGTCTCGCACGTGGCAGGCAGGCAGAGAACTTGCTGTACCTTCTAGGAAATTGCAATCGATTTGTAACGCACTTTCGCTAATTGGGAGTTCAAAATTAAACTTTAATAAAGCATTTGTGTCGTCTCGTCTAATTGTGAAAGCTTCCATCCGTCCTGGTAGATAGACTCTGAGTCTCAAGTTAATGGCGCTAAGCTAGATTTCCCCCCCAAGTACAATTCCGTCAGCCGTCATCGGCGCAGCTGGATTTCCGTAAGGTACAGATGTTGCTAATGACAGCTTAAGCACGGATGGGCAGATAGCATACGGAATGCAACATGTTGCCATATGGTTCCTTTAGCCTTTCACCTCCAGGGATATCAATCACATATATTCTGGGAGGAACTTAATGACTCTCTGAACAGCAAAATGAATTACCTGGTACAATTTATATCCCTTGACCTGATACGTTATAACAACAGGAAGATAGCATCTCGCAATTTCTGTAGTATAAATTGAGCTACAGAGCTACATTTCAAATTCTACACATCTATTTGTAGTTTGAGGGGGCCCTGTCATATTCTGGCTGCAAAATCTTTCTGTATTGCCCATTTCCTTTCCCCTTCTACCTGTGGACGAAGCGGAATTCATAAAGTTTAGCAAAACTGTCGTGTCTGAAATTGCCAATCTGCCGGTTAATAGATGAAGTATGGAGAAATGGAAAATATGACTTCCAGAGCTAGTTAATTAAACAGGAATTAGCCATCTTTAGGAAAACCATACTTTTAAGCGTACAAAATTAAAGGACTCCGGAAAATGTGTTTTCTGCTAGTTGTTTCAGTATAGCTCCTAAATCTATTCATTAACTATTTGAAATTCTCCATTTATTTTCAAACTTCAACCATTCTACACTTTGGAAATTACAGAAAACAGTTCTCAGAAATATGAAATACAGAAAATGTTTAAGTAGCACCTCCTCAGCAAACCAGTTTCTGTACCCACAGCCCCATGCACTCACTATTGATGTAGCTTAATTTGAAACATGTACATGGTGGTACTGGTAGTCTGCTTTTTCCTACCAACATGTCAGTGACAGCATACTTAAGTTGCTGCTTCTCTCCTAGTGGAATGATTCTGTAATATTTCACAGGTCTCATTTTAAAATATCCTGGTGACTAATAAAATGTCTTAATTGATTGCCTTTAATCTCAGATTATAAACGTGGTTGTCTTTTACTGTATCCCTTATTTTCTATTCACTAACACAGATCACACGGAAAGACAATACCTTAAGGGCAAAAAAGTAAACTAACTACTACAATTGCTAAACTTTATGTTTACTTTTGCCTACAAAGGGATACCTGAAAGCTAGAGATATACTTTTAAAACTTTTTGCTTCTGGCACTATGTAAACATTAATTCATGTAAACTAGTGACTAGCAGAATAACTAAAATAGACATGAATAGTCTGAAAAAGTACTTACTTTCAGTCAAGTTTCAGAAAGTGTTAACATTTTGAAGGTTTGTCTATATATCATGTTCTTTCAGAATTATTTTGAAATTACAAGAAGATGCTTCTTTTTTTTCTTTTGTAATGGCTGATTTGTTACCTACTGCTTGAGTTAGATATTTTATTAATTATTATCAAATAAAATCATTTCTGTGTGTGTATAGGGGAAAAGCTTATACAGAACACAGTAAAATATACCTTAAATATACACATTAAAATATAAGTTATGGCAATGTTTTCTGGAGCTGTTTTTTTGTGTCTTTTAATGGCTGAGGTTTTATTTCTCTTTGTAGCATCAGCACTTGATGTGTTTTAAACATAAGTAGTGATGGTGAGCTTGTCAATAATGACTCCATCTCCATGACTTGTGAATAGGCAGTATGTCCTTTAATCAGTCACACAGAACTTGCTTTATAAAGCTGTTATTGTTATGAACAGATATTGCAGTCTTTTGTCAGGCCCAGTGATTATTAAAGTGTTCCCTCTTCAAAAGCCAGGCCGAAAGTCCTGCTGTGCTTCATTTCAGAATTGAAGTCCATTAGTAAATAAAATCCTAAGCAGCACGATTTGCTTTTTCTCAAGTTATAGGCTTACATATATTTCATTAATGATCTTGGGCCCTTTTGTAGACATAACTAGGTATATTTTTGGTATGTATATATGCAACAAAAATAAAATACGCATCTTGCAGCATGACTTTTATTTTAAATAAAGATTTGATACCCATTGTTACTCTAAATGAGGTGGCTGGCTGCCAAGGGAAACCCTATAGCCAGAAAGTACTAGAATAGTTACTGTCTACAGGGAATCACATTTTATTTTTTGGGTTCTCAACTTGACCTCCTTCTCTTAATATTGCCCTTCCATATTGCTAATCTGAGAATTAGTCTGAATATAAAAACTTTTGAAAGTATTTTTGTGTTGTCCAAGAAAATTTTCACCAGTGTTTCTGGTTGCCTGCTGGTTTTCGGCCTTTATTTTGAGTGGGCATGTTTATTGTAACTGAATGAAGAAAGACTATTAGAACTAGGTATATACCCAATGCTAAGTAATTTTAACCGTGATATAATCCCAGCTGCTTTCTTATTTAGTCATGAATACATTTAAAACATTTAAGATTGGAGAGGTGTCTGTTATTCTCAAGGTATCGTGGGACAGCTATGGATAGGCATTTGGCCTCTAATAGAACTCTTCATTTAAGTGAGTGTGGCTGAGAAGAACAACCAGGAAAGAGTATAGTCCTCAGTTGCACTTGCCCTGTTGGCTTTTCAAATGTAAAATCCATGTTGTTGCATTTGGAAACTTGTTTCTCTCTTTTATGGTATTTCATTTAAGATTTTATTTTTTTTAACTGCCGATCTGTAAATAGTTCACCAGCAAAGTGGGAAACAGCCTTTTATTCCCGACTGTATACACTTTTGTTTTTATCTAGGTTAGTATGGGTGTCATGTAAATACCATATAAAAATTTGACTTTGGTACTTTGAAGATTGACAGGGACTTCTTTAATTAATCTTGCTTCCTTTCATGTTCTGTATTGAGATATTGAAATACATTATTTTATACATTTATAGGATTGTGTTTGCATTTATTTAATTTATGTTTCTTTTTTTGAAGCATGTAGCCTTGAATATTTGTTCTACCTTTTTTTTTTTCACATCATTACTCTGGTACTGCTTGATGTAACTTGATTAGCTCCCTCCCCAGTCATGATTGGTAATTAAAATAGGCATTAAAATTAGTCACTTAGCAATTTTGCTGTTCAATTGGCAATTAAATTACTTAATTGCAATTAAAGTCCTAATTTTAATTGGCAAAATGATAGATGTAGATTTAAGATAATATGTATAAATACTTTAATAAGTGTCTATATAAGGATTACTTAATTACGCAACTTCAAGTTTATGATGTTAACTTTAGAACTTTTAAGTGGGCAATGAAATTTATATTACATCTATTCAAAGGATATGGTAATTAGATTTATTACTTATCACTATAAGGGTTCTTGCTTTAAGTTACTTTTGTAGTGTTAAAATTGTAAGTTAGATAATTGCAGAATTATGATGAGGAAAGGGCATGTATGTCTCTGTTATAATATTATCAATACCTTCATTTTTAAAAATTAAATTGAGACGTTTCTGTCCACCAGTTTCTCTGAGGAAAAAATCAAAAGCGGTTATTTTATCATTAAAGATAGAACAAAAACTAGCCAGCTGTGATTTACATATAAAAACTTGCAAAATGTATGTATTTTATCTACATTTAAATAAATGCTATCTAGTACTCATAGTGTTACTAATGGTATTAACTACTTTTAGAGTTTGCAGATACTTGATATTTTCTTAGCATGTAGCAACTTATTTTTAGAACCTTTAAAATGTCTTTTAGGACTTTGTACATTTTAGAGATGCCCATGTTTACTAAAATTAGCAATGAAATCTAAAACCAAAGTTATTCTTCTTTGCATAGTAAAAAGTTCTTAAGAAAATATTAAGTGGTTAATTTAAAAGCAAGTATTTAGGAATTGGTTATTGTGTGTCAAGTATTAACAAAAAGATGAAGGATTTTTATTATGCAAAATACTTTTTGAGTGGCATGAGGTTTTACCATATGTTCAGTTTTATAATTTTAATTCACAAGAAGATGCTTCTAGAAAGAAAATACTGTTTTTTTCCTGCACATCTTTACACATTTCTAGTATTGAGTTCTTTATCAATGTAAAATAATTTTTAAAGTATTTGCACTAAGTGGTTTTTGGTAAAAATCGGCTAATACTGAATAAATCTACAACTATCCAAAATATGAATATTAACAAAGCAATTGACTTGTTCTTTGAGCATCCTATGAGAAAGAAACAAACAATTTTGTCAGTTAATATCCTGTCAATGTAAATGAATGGCAAAAGCAAAACAACAAGAAAACCTTTCAGTAGTAAAAACTAATATTGTATTTTCAGAAACAGATTTTTTTCTGGAAGTGAAAATTTGTTTCTTCTATCACCAATGTAACTTAACTGCTCAATGGCAGTAAATGCTGTGAATGAAAGTCTGTCCAAATGTAATTTAAAATATGTATGTTTTAATGCTAACAATAGATTCTACTAAGTAATTTTATTATGAAAAATCTTAAAGTTGTCTCAATTGTCTCAACTCTTACAGCATAACAGATATATCTGTTTCACTGTATCTGCATTGTAAGGTGTATTCTGAATTCATTTGGGAAGAATGGTGAAATAAATCCCTAAAGGCCTCTTTCCCATGCATTAAAATAGAAAATCCTATGGGATTACATTCATGTTTGCTTTCTAAATTATGCCAAAAGCTCAATTTTATTAAGTATAATCAGCTTAGCCATGCATAAAATAAAATATTTTGGTTTAGCTGTGAGTATATGTATTATTTATGTTGATTTTTAATAAAAATACATTTACATATACCAATATGTTCTGCTTAATATTGGTTAATATTATAAAAGATAACATAGTATCATTACCTTCCTAAATGTTTTTCTGTGGTCATCCAGTAGTGTTTCTTATTAGCAATAATTTTTAATTTATTTCAGTTGGTTTCAAAAGAGGATAGGACCAATTTTTACTCGCATTCATTTTAAAAATTATTAAGAAAATAGA